TAACAGCCGGACTTTTATTTTGCTAACTGGGAAAAGAGAAACATAAGACTAAAATATGTAATATTGCAACATGATTTAAGTTTGTTTTAGTGCAAATCTACACAACGTCTTAAATGGGCACTATCCACCGAGTGTATCAAAACCTGGTAGCTTTGCGCTTAAAAACAAAAACCAGCTGGATATATCACATATTTTTAGTTGAACTCTCAGTACTCTATGAAATAATGCCTATGATTTCTAATTACCTTACAGTGCATATAACTGTATAACTGATAACTCTCTTAAATTTAGAAACAAAATTAGAGAAGATAGTTATATAAGTGCTTGTTGTGTAGTGGTCATCACATTCACCTTACACGCAAAATGTCCCAGGTTCAATCTCTGGCAGGCACAAAGTAATTTTTAGATTAGCGCCTTCAGCTGTCTTAGAGTGCAAATTTGTTTTTGGTCAGCTCTTATTTCATGTTTAGTTAGTGACTTACTATTCTTGTTTCATCGCATGGTGTAGTTTTTGTTTTGTGTTTTTAAATGTGGAACTTAGTTTATTAAGTCCAGAGCTTCTGTTGAAGTTAAAGCTGATGAAAGCCTTATCTCTAAATTGCATACAGAGGTCTCAGTGGAGAATTATTTGACAGTGGAGGTGGATTGTGGTGTTCTTCTTGAACCTGCTACCTCAGATGACGAGATTATTCGATCACGCTCTTTGTCTACTGTTGATTCCACATCCTATTGGAATTAATATTATTAAATTGAGGTAAATTGATAAAAAAGTAACAAGTCTGACATACTTAAAGATTGTCAAATTAATATCTTCTTTGAATTCTGATTAACATCTTGTCTTCTATATTTCAGAGTAACTTTCTCTGAAGGAGGAATGACTATCGTGTTCTTCGTACAACTACCATATACCAGGCTCGATCCTTGATATGCATTCCTCCATAGAGATTGCTAGTGCACTCTCTCAGATACATAATACATTTGTGTGCCCTCTCCCCATACTGTGTATGTTGTATTATAGAAAATTTGATAAAGTTTTTTCGGTATAAGGACGTAGCGCCATGGCCAGGTGATTAGGGCGCTTGACTCGCAATCTGAGGCTCGCGGGTTCGAATCCCCGTTACACGAAACATGCTCGTCCTTTCAGGTGTGGGAGCATTATAATGTGACGGTCAATACCACTATTGTTTGGAAAAGTGTTGTCCAAGAGTTGGCGGTGGGTGGTAATGAGTAGCTTCCTTCTCTCTAGTCTTACACTGCTAAATTAGAGACAGCTAGCACAGATGGCCCTCGTGTAGCTTTGCGAGAAATTCAAAACAAACAAACTGTTTCTTTTATCAGCGTTCGTCAATACGTTACTGATGCGAGCATTATTTCCAAGTTGCATGAATTTGAATGATATGTTAAAAGTGACATCGTATGGAAACGGGACCAGGGCATTTACAATGGTATCCGTTTGGTGCGTGTATCTTTTTTTGATTCTCGTACATCTTTGCCTTATGTAATTTTAGATGCTGGATCCGTTGAGGGAAAAGTCTTTTTATTAAAATGTAGCATGATTATCAACATCGTGTGTGTAACTTGTGTCTCGCGGAGGATCATCTGTACAGTGATTGTCCCCAGTTGATTTGCCATCATTGTCATTGGCATGGTCATGTTGCTGTCGTTGCCAAGGTGTCGTGGAAAGACCTGTTGATGAAGAACAGTCTGCTAGAGCCCCAAATACAGAGGTCGCAGTGGTGGACGATTCGAAAGGGGAGGAGGGTGGAGACAATGTTCTTCATAAATCAGTCGTTTTAGATGTCTAGTTTAATCGCTCTCCATCCTCTGTAGCTTCTACATCGAATCGTGAAGTGTGCATAGCCAGTACTAGAGTTTTATCAACTGACTGTGATCCTGAATTTCCACCGTTGGAGGAGAAGAAGGCCGACCTGTCTATGTCTTCATTGTCAACAACTGTTCTACCTGATACCCCTTCGGTTCGATGTAGGGAATATGCGAAAGTGGTTGATATGGAGGTGAAACCTTCGAACAGTGGTAAGAAGAGAGTTTTGGAATCGCCTGATACTCATCTGAGTAAAGCTCGAATACCTCGTGTGATAAAAACTACTATAACGACAGCGGAAGTCACGTGGTGCTGGTAGCGTGCGTGAAGTTTCTCGAATTATTGGGGAAGACCGAGTTTGTTCGAGACGACCTCTTTTTTAGTATATAAGCCTGGAATAGAAAGCCGACGAAAAATAATAAAGTGTGTGTTTTGTACTCGTCGAGAGTGAAGTTATCGAGATTGTGAATCGCTGTAATTTATAGCGTGTATTATAAAAGTTGTTAAGTTTAAAGTGACGAGAAACGTACTGACTGTGGAATTACTGTGTACTAAAATTTTGTATCGACAAAGAATAAGCTGGTTTAATTAAGAAAGGACTTGTATAGCTGAAGTTCCTCAGAAAAAATTTCTACCGGAAATTAACAAACAAGCAGATACCTAACAAATTAGTGTCAGAGAGTGGAATGGAAAAAAAGAAGAAGATGGAAATGAAAAATGGCAAATCAAACTACAGCTTAGCAGATTTGACGGCAGCAATACAAGAACAGCAAAAGAAACAAGAAGAGAGATAACAGCAGTTGTTGGAGGAAAAAGAAAAGAAACAAGAAGAACGAGAATATAAACAAGAGGAGAGGCTACAACAGTGGTTGGAGAAGAAAGAAAATAAAGAAGAAGAGAGACTACAGCAGTGGTTGGGGGAGAAAGAAAATAAAGAAGAAGAGAGAATACAGCAGTGGCAAGAAACCAGCACCAGTGGCAACTGGAATAAGAAAGGAAACAAGAAGAACGAGAAAAGAAACAGGGAGGAAGTCTCCAACAGTTGCGGGAAAGTCAGCATCAACTACAGCAAAGTCAGCAACTATGGCAAGAAGTACAAATGGAAAATATTAGTAAATTTCAAAGTGAATTAAATACATTAAAGGACAATTTACTGTCTTTTACACAGGGAGGAGATATTAGCCATGGATCTAATCAGCACCAGACAACAGCAAGCCCCTTCCAGATCCTGCAGCTAAACCCTAAAGCAGACAACTTCA